CTTGTAGAGCAAACGGATGTCCACAGTGTATTGATCCGTTGGATCCGTGATGTCCGTCGCCAGCTCAGCGCTCGGTTCCGGCAGGACATCCTGGTCCTGCAGCTGCACTCTAACCAAGGCGGTGAGTTGCTCCCACATCCTCGAGGGCTTTGTGGTGCTGAGGGAAGCGTGGATGCCCTTAGCACGCTAGTCCTCTGGGGTTCACTTGCTCTTGTACGCGAACTTTTCGCGGGCAAGCTCTCTCCTCGCACTCTTCGCTGCGTCTTCCTTGGCTTCCCTACCAACGCCCTGCCCTGGCAGTTTTACCACCCTAGTTCTCGTCGTGTCCTCTCGTCCCAGGACATCACCTTTGACAAGTTTTTCTGCTTCTACCGTCTCCACCCCCACCACAGTTCGCTTGTGCCCCTCCCGCCTCTTCCTTTTACTTGCCCCCCCCCCCCCCCCCCGGGTAGCCCCCCTCCCTCCTTAGGGTCCTGCTCCCTCAAGTGTGTCTCAGGTAGACCCAACCTCCTTGGTTGAGCCTTTGGAGGTCTCCTCTGACACCTCTGGCCCAGCTGAGGGGGGTGACCCGACTGCTGCCGACACCATGGCCCCTGGCCGCTCAGCACGCTTAGCGATTCCTCCTGGGTTTCCGCCTCAGCCATCTTCACCGCCTCTGCAGCCCGTCGCTTTGGAATCTGGTGCTGCTGTAGGTGGTGACACCGGGGATGCGGTCTCTGAGGGTGCTGGTTCTGGGGGTGCTGAGTGTCCTACGGGTGCAAGAGGTGCTGGAGGTGCTGGTGCTGGAGACGCTAGTGCTAGCGGTACTGGTGCACGTTGGCAAGAGACTCTCTCGCCCGAGCGGCTTCGCGAGTGGAATGTCTGGTGAGGCAGCCCTGGTGGTGGAGCTAGCCGTGCTCGAGCTGGAGGTGCTGGGGCTATAGGAGCTGGAGGTGCTGGTGCTGGTGGTACTGGAGTTGGAGGTGCTAAACGTCTTGGTGCTGGAAATGCTAGTGCTGGCGGTACTGGTGCACGTCAGCAGGAGACTCTCTCGTTGGAGCAGCTTCGTGGGTAGGCTGTCCAGTGGGGCAGCCCTGGTGGTGGAGCTAGCCGTGCTAGAGCTGGAGGTGCTGGGGCTACTAGAGCTGGAGGTGCTGGTGGTGCTGGAGCTGGAGGAGCTGGACGTACTGGTGCTGGAGGTGCTGGAGCTGGAGGTACTGGAGGTACTAGAGCTGTTGGTACTAAAGGTACTAAAACTAGAGGTGCTGGAGGTACAGATGCTGGAGGTTGTGGAGCTAGTGGTGCTGGAGGTGCTGGAGCTAGAGGTACTGGAGGTACTGGTCCTGCTGGTGTTGGAGGTGCTGGAGCTGGAGGTGCTGGAGGTACTGGAGATGGGGGTGCTGGAGCTACTGGCGGAACGAGTACTGCGCCGCGATGACTGTTTTTCTACCTGCAGCCGCAATCGTCCCTGCCACCGCCTTTCTCAGCATTTCGCCAGGTTCTTAGTCTTCTGTCTTCCACTGGCCTTACTTAGCATCTCCAGTGTCTTCCGCTTGACCAGACATAGCCACTATTACTGCCTGGCTCCCCACTGCCCGCTCCATCTCCAAGCTCACTTGAAGAGCGTCGTAAGCCTGAGTCTCGTCCTGCCTCACCCAGTTTGCACTGTCACTCGTGTTCGTCCTCCACCTGTCCCCGGCACGCACACGATGGCACTTCGTCCTTCCTTTGTTCCACAGCGTATTGCCCTGCCATCTCCTCCAATGTCCTCTCTTCTCGATGTTCCTGTCCCTGAGTCCGACCTTGCTTGTGCTGCCAGTCCTACTGCCACTCGTCTCCGCGCCACTTTTGTGACTCACCCTTCCTTTGAGTCTAGTGCTGCGTTTGCCCTAGTCACTGAGCTAGTCGACTTTGCTGCTACCCGTTGTCTTGACTAAGTTGCGAGTCTTGTTACTGATTCTGAGTCCGTCTGTGGTCCGTCCATCAGGGGCGAGCTTGCCCTTAGCAGTGATGCCCTTGAAAACAGGCAGTTTGAGCTTGAGTGTCTCGTGGCCGCTTTACCCCGTCTCGCATCCATGCTGCTTTGCCCTGAGGGAGACCCGGATGCACTTGACATCCCCACCTCGCGCTCTTACGCAGAGGCGATCACAGGTGAGTATTCATTTCAGTGACAAACAGCCATGGACGCAGAGATGGCTTCCTGGAAGTCCACAGGCACCTACGTGGCCGAGGTTCCCCCTCATGGGGCGAACATAGTCGATGTCATGTGGATTTTCATAGTGAAGCGGTTGCCGGGTTCTCCGCCTGCCTTCAAGGCGCGTTACGATGCTTGAGGCTTCAGTCAGTGACAGGGGGTCGACTTCTTCCAGACCTTCTCCCCCACCCCGAAGATGACTACTCTTCGGGGGTTGCTGCACATTGTAGCATTGCGTGACTACGAGCTGCACTCATTCGACTTCTCTATAGCTTTCTTGCAGGGCAGCCTTCACGAGGAGATCTGTTTGCGCCACCCACCTAGCTTCACTAGGTCGTTTCCTGAGGGTACCAAGAGGAGCCTCCGGCAGCCAGTCTACGGACTCCGCCAGGCGCCTCGCGAGTGGCACGACACACTGAGGACGACACTTGCGGCTCTTGGGTTTGATCCTTCTACTAGCTAACCCGTTGCTGTTTCTGCGCACCGACCCTTCTCTCCCACCGTTCTACATCCTTGTATACGTCGACGACTTGGTCTTTGCTACTGCCAGAACTAAGGCGCCGATTCTTACTGAAGAGACATACTTGCACTGACCTGCGTGAGCTGCGTAGCTATCCTGGCCTGTAGATCACCCGGGACAGAGCACAATGCACCATCACTCTGACTCAGTCAGACATGGTGCACGAGGTCCTTCAGCGCTTCGGCTTTCAGTTCTCCTCGCCACAGTCCACTCCTCTGCCTACTGGCCACGTGCTCTTAGCTCCACCTTCAGGCGAGTCCGTAGAGCCGAGTGGCTCCTATCCAGAGCTTGTGGGCTGCCTCATGTACCTGGTGACGTGCACATGACCTGATCTTGCGTACCGTCTCAACATTCTTGCTCGCAAGATAAGTGGGTGCCGGACATGTGCGCGAACTTACATTCACAAGTACATTCACTCATAGAACCTTATGTACAAGAACTAGCCCCACGCTTGATGTCATCGCTAGGTACTTGGCCACCCTCACAGCCGCCGTCCAGTGAACAGGACGGTGTCTCCCTGGTGCAACAAAGCGAGCAAGGATGCTGAGAGGGAAGGCGAGGTCTGGGCGAGTACAAGTCATCAGGTACATGAGGCAGCCCACCAGCTCTGCGTAGGGACCACTAGACTCAAACGGCTCGTCAGGAAAGGGTCCAGTAAGTCTGTGGTCGACAGCAAGAGGTGTGCGCTGTACTGTGGAGTGCTGAATCTCGAAGCGCTGAAGAACCTGCTGCACCATGTGTGACTGTGAGAGTATAATGGTGTGAGCAGCTCTGTCCCTGGTGATCTGCAGGCCAAGGTAGTAGCGCACGTCACCAAGGTTAGTGCACGTGTGTCTCTTCTGCAGTTTGGACTTCATATCTGCCAAGGCAACTTTGTCAACAGTGGCGAATACCAGGTCGTTGACGTAGACCACAACAAAGAAAGGTGCGGAACCATGATGGACGAACAGCGACGGGTCGGTAGAAGACGGCTGGAAACCCAAGTTAGAGAGAGTAGAACGAAGGGTATCGTGCCACTCACGAGGAGCCTGACGGAGACCGTAGACTGGTCGCCTTAGCCTCCACTGGGTCCCAGGAGGAAAGTGCCAGTGAAGGTAGAGGGACGACGCAACCAGACCTCATCGTGTAGGCTACCTTGAAGGAAGGCAGTAGAGAATTTAAGAGTGTCTAACGCGTAGTCTCTATGTGCTGCTTTGTGCAGTAACACCAGAAGAGTGGTCATCTTCGGGGTGGGCGCGAAGGTGTGAGAGAAATCAACTCCCTCGCGCTGACTGAAACCTCTAGCCACATAGCACGCCTTGAAGACCGGAGGAGATCCCGGTGGCCGCTTCACCCTGAAGATCCGCATGCCATTGACTACGTTCGCCCCAGGGGGGGGAACCTCGTCGACATAGGTGCTTGTGGATCTGTAGGAGGCCATCTCTGAGTCCATGGCAGCTCTTCGCTGAGAGGCCCGAGGCCCTGACACTGCCTGTGCGTAAGTGCGAGGAGTCGGTATGTCAAGGGCGTCGGGGTCTCCCTCTGGAGCGAGCACATGGCACAGAGATGAGGGGAAGCGGCTGCCAGGAACTGTAGCTCAATCTACGTGTCCTGTAGGGCGTCACAGCCAAGGGCAGACTCACCCCCGACGGCCAGAGGACTGGTAGGAGGAGCAGCCACGAGACAAGTGGCGTAGTCAAGGTAGCGAGTAGTGGCAAACTCAGTGACGGCGATAGTAAGGGCGGAGATAGAGGACAGAGAGGCTCGAGGGTCCGTAACGAGAGAGGCGAGAACACGAGGGAGAACAGGACGGTACGTGCGGTAGTAGTCAGTAACAGGAGTAGAGAGGGAAGGAGTGAAGGCTGACTCAGGAGGAGAAGGTGTTGGAGTAGGCTAGAGCTCGGTCTGGCATTTATCATGGTGTTCTTTTCTCATTTCGCCATGTCTAGAGCGAGATACACTTTCGGTTCAGTTTAGGTTCACTTCTTAGTTTCTAGCGCAAATTGAACACACCCTTCATTTAGGGTTTCCTACATTTGTATCTCGACATTCTTGTTAGTCTATTACTTCAACCATCCTCTTTAGCCATGGCTCCAAGTACTCTCTTAACATGGTATCTAGAGCCTAATCCTAGGCAAATCTTCATTTTTCACATCTCTTAAAAATGCTTAGACGCTTAGGCACCCTTAGGCACCCGCTAAATCACTCTTTCCTATCAATCTCGACCTTTTTTTTCTTTTCTTTTAGTCATGGATTCCCCCCTTAGGCAGCCGCGCGACCCCTAAAGCCGTCGCGCCCCGCGCCCCCGCCCTTCCCCTACCACCGTCGATGCGCGCGCCCTGCCGTTCATCGCGCGCACCCTGCTTCGTCGCCGCGCGTGCCTTATTTTCGCCACGCGCGCCTTATTTTCGCCCCGCGCGCCCTGGTTTCGCCGTCGTGCGCCCGGCCTCGCGTGCGCCCTGCTTTGTGCCCATGCGCGCTCTGCTTCCCCCTGGTTGCGCCCGCCCTGCCCCACGTGGCTGCCCTCCTTGTGGCTGCCCTTCCACTCGCGAGCGCCTCCTCTCCTCCCGCCGTGCTCTCCCCTTCCTCAATCCGTCCCCCCCTCCTTCCCCCCCTCCCTCACCCTCCTCCTTTCCACTCTCCTTTGCGCTTGAAGCACCGCCTTACTTCTTCCTCCTCCTATTTCCTCTCCTTCTCTACTACCCTTCCACACCATCCGCCCCTTCTCCCTCCTCCTCCTCCTCCTCTCTTCTCTCCCTTCATTCCCCTCCCCATCGCACTCTCTCCTCCGCCTCTCTTCTCTCGTCTACTGCTGCAGCTGGTTGCCGGCTTTGCTTTGTCATTTTGCTCATCAAGACCTACCCCTTCTCTCCATCCACCCCTTCACCCTCCTCCTCTCTTCTCTCCCTTCATTCCCCTCCCCATCTCATTCTCTCCTCCGCCTCTCTCTTCTCCTCTACTACTGCAGTTGGTTGCCAGCCTTGCTTCGTAGCCGTGCTCCTTCCCCACTGTGTTCCTCCGCCTCTATTTTCTCCCCTCAGCGGCGCAGCAACAGACTATTCCACTGTTATCCCTCCTCTTATTTCTCCCCACAGCGGCGCAGCAGCAGACTACTCCGCCATTATCCCTCCTCTTATTTCTCCCCCCACCGGCGCAGCAACAGACTATTCCGCCATTATCCCTCCTCTTATTTCTCCCCTCAGCGGCGCAGCAGCAGACTACTCCGCCATTATCCCTCCTCCTCTTATTTCTCCCCTCAGCGGCGCAGCAGCAGACTACTCCGCCGTTATCCCTCCTCTTATTTCTCCCCTCAACGGCTCAGCAGCTGACTACCTCGTCCATATTCCTCCTCCTCTTTTATCTCCCCACATCTGCTCCATTGCTACCCCCTTCCCCCGATGGGGCCTATTCTCGTTCTTACCTCTCCTCCTCTGCGCTTCCGCCCTCACCCGTCTCCTGCCGTACCTCCTCTCCTACCCTTGCCTTTCCTCATCTCCGCTCCCTTCGCTGCCCCTTCCTCCCCTTGCACCTCTCCTACTTGCCTATGGACCTCCCATCTTCTCCGCCCCTCTGCTTGGGTTCCGCTATCCCATCACTGTCGCCACTCTTGTGCCGCTGTCACCTCTGGTATTGGTTCTCTGGCCTCTGTCTTCAATGTAACCATTGTTATAGTCACAATAGGCTCCAATGTGCCTAAAACGAAAGATAGAGTGCACAGTCGGATTTCTGCACAGCGGCTTCAAACGTTCATAGCGTTCTGGTCACAACTTCAAATGACCTGATTCAACTTGGATCTGGAGCGCCTGAACGTCGCCTACAATAGGCAATTTAGATCGCACAATTTCACCAAGTATTGAGGACAAAGTGTCGGTTTGAACGAACGGCACTATGGCAGCCACTATAGTCTTAGAACACAAAATGAAGAGTTACGAGTTGGGAATGACTCCCAGCTCCTACAAACCCCAAGAGCCGAGGTACAGTGATGTGGAACAGTGCCACACTGTCCCCAACCACGAAGGGTCTCGAAACTACCCTTCACTAGGGCCTACACCAAGTGAAATGTTACACTACACAAAGTAATGTAACTATCTTCAATATCTTGAGGTGTACCCTTTTGGCGAGCTTCGAAATCACTTGAGGCTTGACACCAAGGCTCGGGCTCTTCATCACAAACTCATCCTTAGGTTCTTGATGGGTCTGCTGCACACACCTGCGACACACCGAACGTTCGACACAGGACAAAATAGAAACCGCGCACGACAAAAATAGAAACCGCGCGCGAGACACAAATGACCGCATAACACGCGTCTAGCGATAACTCGCTATTGACTCGACACACACACTCGACATCATGACTCAACATTCACACACAATTATAAGCATGAAATATATATTATCCCATGTCCTCATACCATTCCATACACACACACATGCACGCACACGGACAACAAGCCGAGTGCAAACCGTAGGGTTGCACCAACAACCATGCCATCCCTGGATAGCATCCTTGGTGCTTCTCCGCTCATGGACCCTCGTTTTGTTGTTCCACTTTCTCCACCTGTTCCCAGCACTGTCTCCCACTCTCCCAGCCCTACGGCTGCCTCTCTCTCACTTCCTCGCACCTTGGATTTTGTCCTTGATAGTGCTGCTACTGACTCTGTCTTTCGTGATGCCGGAGTCCTTCGCAATTTTCCTCGTCCCCTCTCTATCAATGGGGCTGGGAAAACCATGACCATGATCTGCACTGGCACTTCCTCTCTTCCCTGTCCTGCCTCTCCCTCTGGCGCTGTTACGGGACTCTATGTTCCCTCTTGCCGTCATAACCTCCTTTCCTTCCCTGCCCTCCAACGGCTGGGTGTGCAAGCGTTTTTCCCCGCACGCGAACTCTATTGTGATCTTCATTACCACGATCGGCACCTCGCTCGTTTCACCCTTTCTCCTACTACTCACCTCTACACCCTTTGTGTTCCCATCCTTTCATCTATCAATCACACTTCCTCTTCTTCTGCCTTTCCCATCTCCTCTTACGACTGTCGCTCTCTCACCCAACATACCCTTCTTCTCCATCATCGCTTTGGCCACCCCAACTTCCCTCTCCTTCACAGCATGGTCAATTTGAAGCTGCTTCATGATCTCCCTTCCTCTCTCCCGCCCCTTCCCCCCTCCCCCGCTCCTCCATGCACCCCTTGTGTTCAAGCCAAGCTCTCCCAATCTCCTCATCCCTCTTCCCCTTCTGCCTCCCCCAAACCCCTTGATCTTGTGCATATGGACCTCTGGGGTCTCTCTCCCATTGCCTCCCGTCAAGGTCATTGTTACTTTCTCCTTCTTGTCGATGGCCACTCTCCATTTGCCGCCGTCTATCCCCTCCGTGCCAAATCTGACGCCCCCTCTCTCATCATTCGCTGGGCTGAGCAGGCGCGCCTTTGCTTTGGCCGTCCTGTCGCACGCCTCCACTCTGATGGTGGTGGCGAGTTCTTTAACCACTCTCTCTCTTCTTACTGCTCCTCTCATGGCATTCGCCAAACCTCCACCCTTACGCATTCTCCTGAACAGAATGGTATTGCCAAGCGTCGTATTTGCACTCTCATGGAGATCACCCGCTGTCTCCTTACTCATGCCTCTGCTCCATACTTACTTTGGAGCTATGCTCTTCTTCATGCCACTCTTCTTTCCAACCTTCGCCCTCATCCCCTTCGCCCTTCCATTATACCCTTCCAGCTCTGGACTGGCCGCCAGCCCTCCGCCCGCCCTCTTCAGGTCTGGGGCTGTGTTGCCCATGTCCTCATCAATCCCGCCGATCGAGCACGTTAGGGTGGGAAGCTTGCTCCCAAGACGCAGCTCTGTGCGTTCATTGGCATCAACTCTCACTGTCCTGGCTATCCTTTCTATGCTCCCTCCTCTCAGCAGCTCATTCGCAGCCAGGATTGTATCTTTGATGAGACTCGTTCCCCTTTCCTCACCCCACCTCCCACCCCTCCTCCTCCCTCTCTTAATTTGTCTGACTTTGATCTGCTGCTCTCCCTCCTTCTCCCCTCCCTCCTGCCCTTGCTCCACCTCCCCTCCCTGCCCCCTCCACCCCTCCCTCTGCTGTCATCTCTGGCCCCTCTCCTCCTGCCTCTTCCTCTTCGGCTCCCATGCCCTCTCCTTCACAACATCCTTCTCCTCTCCCTCCTGCTCCTGCTCCCCCACCTTCTTCGCGTCTCACCCGCTCCATGACACGTGCCATGTCTAATTTTCAACACTCTGCTCTCTTGACTCGTCTCTCTCCCTCTCCAAACGTCGATCTTCTCAAGGATCGATTTGAAGAGCTGTTCTCTATTCATCCCATTTCACCCCTCCTCTGTGTCACCATTGGCGACTTCTCCAATTCTCCCACTCTTCTCTCCATTCACACCGCCGCTATTCCCACCCCTCACACTTATTCCGAGGCACTGTCTGGCTTTCATGCAACTGAGTGGATGGCTGCCGTCATTGCCGAGTGTCAGGCATTCACCAGAACTCAATCTTACGTTGACTATGTCCCCTCCCCTAGCGCCACCATTGTCAAGGACAAATGGGTCTTTCGTGTCAAACAGCTGCTTGGGGAGCTTCCTGTCTTCAAAGCCCGTTACTGCGCCAAAGGGTTCACCCAACGTGAAGGCATTGACTACTTTGCCACTTACTCCCCCACTGCCCGTCTCCCCACTCTTCGCCTCCTTCTTGATCTAGGTGCTCGATGGGATTGGGAGATTCACTCTATGGATGTCTCCAATGCCTTTCTCCAGGGCGAGCTTCATGAGCGCATTTTCCTTGCGCGCCCCACTGGCTTTCCTCACCCCTTCCCTCCAGGCACTGTCTGAGAGCTGAAGCGTGTTGGTGTAGGGGCCTGTTGGTGTAAGGGCCTAAAAAACTCAAGCTATTAAGACTTTATCACACTTAAAACCTCTCCTCGGGGTCACCTCCAAGGGTCCTTTGGTGCCTGGTACAAGACCAGCCCCTATCCTCGGGTCCAAGTTTGTAGAGAGAGGGATCAAGAGGGACTTAGTCAAAACAGCAAGAGTACCTTGAACGTTGCGCAGCGTATCGTGCAGACCGTTGACCGGATTAAGCTGAGAATTTCCTATATCGAAGCTCACTCGAAGAGCTTTAAAATAAGCCAAGTTGCCTCGCGAAAAAATCTGCCATTACGAAGTTATGGCTCGGACAGCGTTTGCCTAGCGTTGGAGTGCTAGCGTACTAGCGTTGACTCGAGTAGCATTCCGCCGTCGCACCGCGTAGAAACGAAATTCTAGGAAGGGAGGAATTTGCTTGAATCAAATTGACTATATTCAGGTACAAACAGAGAAGGAATATATAGTTCTAGCTAGCAAGGACCTTGGGAATAAACCTGGGAACAACTAGGGATGATCCTAAATAAATCCAAGCAACAAAACCAACCTGGCTGGACAAAACAGCAGGTGGTAGGTTGGTAAACAACCTTTGGTTCTGTTTTTCCAACCTGGGAAAACAACAACCAGGTTCAGGTCCTAAAAACAAAACCTGTTTTGTCTTTGCCCAACCAGCCAAATGCTGGTTCCGCTGGTTTCCCCTGGCCCTGTAGCAAGCAGATACAGACAAACAACATCCAACCTTCACCTAAATTGTACCCCTATAGTGCCTGCCCTGCTACACTATAGTCAACCAAACAAAACAGTACAATTTCGAGTTGGATAGAACTGAATCTGCGTAATCAAGTAAGTTGAACCGCAAAGCTTCCATCTTGGGTTCCTTTACAAGCTCGTTCTTTCTGCTTGTACTGTTCATAGCGCGTACAATGTAGTGCCGAAGTGCAAAATGCGCGAGTACCTACAAATGCTTCAAGCGAAAATTGCGAAAGCAAACAAACACACGAACATACCATTCACACCCAAATGCATTCGCACATGCATACTCATACAAACAGATGGCACGATGTCGTGCAATGTGTATTTGCACCCAACACACTCCCCCTCAGCCTGCCGGCTGCATCCCCATCATTCCATACTAGTTCATGCTCATTCCACTCATGCGCACACAACGCCAATGAGGCTCATCCGCAAGCCTCTTGGTGAGGAAGTCTGCTGGCTGCTGGTGACTCTTGATGTAGATCGGATTCACTGTCCCACTCTTCACCTCGTTACGCAGCCAGTGCCACTTGATACGCATGTGCTTATTGAGCCCATGAAGCACAGCGTTCCTGGCCATCCGAAAAGCCCCCTTGCTATCACAAAACAGCGGCATAGCAACCTTTTGCTCCTGGCCAATCTCCTCCAACAGCCTCCTCAACCAAATTACCTCCTTCACCCCATGGAACATCGCCATGCACTCTGATTCCACAGAAGAGAGTGCTGTCTCCGTCTGCTTCTTTGACCTCCGACTAACCGGTCCTCCCCCAACTACGCAGATGTATCCTCCCACAGATGAGGAATCCTCCTTCTCAGAGGCCCACGTAGCATCAGTAAAGCAAGTGAGAAAGAGCTTGCCTTCTCCAAGCCTCTCCCTTTTCTCTTTCAGCACCTCAATCCCTTTCTGCTTCACCTGTGCAGATTCGGAGTATTGAACTCCAATGCTTGGGTGAGAGTTCAAATACTTCACCACACGCTCAGCTGCATCCACCTGCTCCTCTGATGGATTCTGCACCACCCTAGCCAGCTGCCCAACCG